ATAAGCTCTTCTGCCCATATCTCAGGGCTCCAGCTACTAGCTTGATCTCTGCCCCAGGCAAATGCCAGTTTCCACAATGGGTATCTGCTTTGCCTGTTTACTAGACTGGAGATGACCCAGTATCTTTCTAGATCTCGTCATAGCCTCTTCTATGACCATTTTTCCTTAGAGAGCTCACAGACCCAGCAGGGGTGTTTGTAAGCTATATCCCCAACAGGCTAGAATTTCAGAAAAGTCAGGAAGCTTGTTAGCAGTGGCTAGCTTAAATGTCAACTAGCTGACTTTACTTTGCTCTGATTCACTCAGCTTACTTTTAAATTTTCCTCTTTTGGCGGGGGGTGCTTTCCTTTGCCAAGAATGGGGTCTTCGGTCCTCATTCTCCCTGCATTCTCAACTTACTGAATCAGAAATTCTGGGGTTGAGGCCCTGCAGTGTGTATGTTTTTAACAGGTTCTCCATGTGTGAGGACCCCTGATTTAGAAAATGTAAACTACTTAAGACCGTAAGTACAGTTACTGGCATGATCATAGCACACTGTGCTCTCAAACTTCGGGGCTCGGGCACTTCTCCTGCTTCAGCTCTTTCCCGCCACCGCTCCCAACTCATCTTCTACTTCTCTTACTGTCTCTTATCAGTCTCTAATTTTTGTTTTAGGTATTTTTTACCCTAAATAATCTTAATTTTTTTTGAAACTTTGTCATAGATAAATTCAATCAGTTCAACAGTTATTGAATACATATTTCTTTCTGTTATTCTGCAATACTGGTAATAGTAGGGAAGAAAACAGGCTGTGGTTTCAGTAAACTAAAGAAAAAAAAGGTAGCCTTTTCAGAAACGGCAAGAAGGTGTTTTGTTCAAATAGGTATAAAAGTATAACTCTAGAAGATTGTGAACACAGTGGGAACCAGTTATTTAATGGTTGGCTGATATCATTATACATGAAAACACTGGATTTCTTAATGTTTCAAATAGGAACTTAAACAATATATTTTGCTAAGTACTCACGTTAATTCTTTTATTGCTAGTTGAAAGTCCTTAATAGGATAAGTTGTCATTACCAAAGTCTATTTCACGTGAGGCTTAAATTCAGGAGTGAAAGCTGGGTATCACACATCCTCAAATGCATGTACAATTCCAGAGTTTGCTGTTCATAAATGTCTACAGAAAGTTGTAAACCTTTCAGTTTCACTCTGGGGAAGAGAAGGTATGTGAGAGCTAACCAGTGTTTGCCTGGGGAATCTTTGAAGAAGATGATAGTTTGTCTGATAGATATAAAATGACTTTGAAAAGAAAAGGCATTCCTGTTTTGAGTCTATAAAGGAAAGAAAGCCTTTTCCAGTTCTTATCATTCTTTTCACAAAGGACCCGCTCGTGTTTTGTCCATCTTCTGAAATGACTACTCAGTCCCTTGAAAATTTAAAGGTATAACGCTGGAAGATTGTAAACACAGTGGAAACCTATTACCTAAATGGTGGGCTGATACCATTATTTATGAAACGTTAGAATTCATGTTTTTCAAAATATAAGTTAAATGTATCTTTTCACAAGTCCCTGGCCTGATTTTTAAAGATTAGGTTTGTGAATTATTCTGATTTAGCTATCTCAACCCCTGCCCTGTGAAAGCTAATATAGTTATTCCCTGAATTTTCTTCTGGAAGTGACTACCCTTTAAGTGAATGTCCTTACCTTTCATTCATTTCTCTCTGCTCTAACTGTTGGCTTTTGTTTATTTTACTGCTTATTAGCACCTTTACTCTGATACTAAAAATGTGATCCCCACAAAAATACACATACACGTCCCTCAGAGCCTGTGACCATGTTACATTACAAGGCAGGGGGCAAGACAAGGGTGCAGACTGAGTTAGGTCTGCTCACCAGTTTACCTTATTTATCAGATTGCCCTGGATCTGTGAGCAGGCCCCACACAATTCCGTGGGTGGAGAGGAGGGAGGCGAAGAGAGTGAAGTGGCATGAAAGGGACTTGCCTCTCCTGTTGTTGGCTTTGAAGACTGAGGGAGGGGCCACTGACCAGGGAATGAGGGGACCTCTAAAAGCTGGAAAAGGCAGGGGAACCATTTCCCCCTGGAGCCTCCAGAAAGGAATAGAGCCCTGCTGACCTTGATTTTTGACACCCAGGGAGATCTATGTCAGATTTCCAGCCTACAGAACTGTAAGATGATAAATTTGTGTTGTTTTAAAGCCACTGTGCTTGTGGTGATGTGGTATGGCCACAATAAAATGTAATCCTTTCAGCCATGTTGGAGAAAGGAAATGAAGATGAACCTCAAGGCAGTCCACACAGGATGGGTTTAACACGGGGTGGAGTTGCAGCTCTTGCTGAGAGGGGGCTACAAGGCTGTCGGTCAATGTCAGCCCCTGCTCTCGCTGCTTTCTATAAACATAGACAATCTGCAGTTGTCTGTGGCCAAAGTCATGACTGGAAGTGCGCTTCCAAACCCTATGCCTTTTCTCCAGTCTGCCTCCAGCCCACCTATTTGGCTGTCATCAGGGTGATCTTTTTGTAGATAGATTCAATGCTGTTACTTATCTTTAAGGTCCATTTCATGATTTTCCATTGCCTATCAAATAAAGCCTAAAACACAGCATCACATTCATGGCTCTTCCACAAAGCAGCTTCTGCTGCAGCCTCATGTCAGAATTATTTCTCACGTGCATTTGATGTCAACCAAGGTAAAGTACTAAGTCTGTGGACCTAGCACACCGTTTTGCACTTTGGTCCTTAATTTATGTCATTTCCATAACCCCCAACACTCTCTCAGATTATCATATCTGCTAGCAAACCCCTGTGAGTTCTTCAAGGCTCAACTCAAACTTTAATTCCCAAGAAAATCAAGGAAACTTCTACATCAAATAAAATTGTTTGCTCTAGACTTTTGTGCCACATTGGGGCTGGTGCACTTTGTGATATTAAAATGATTTCTTTCCATTTCATTCTCTTATACTAAACGGTTAGTTTCTTGTGAGTACCACCGGGAGCTAATACCATGTCTGTGGAATCTTAGCAGCTCACACGGCTTTTATACAGCTGGTTCTTGAGAAATAAATTCTCAGTGCACATGTGGTTATGTTACCTGACCTGGCCTGAGCACCACACAGATGCCGTTAGAATGCAGGTTTCGGAATCTCAGGCCAGTGTTTGGTTGTATTTTGCCTCTAAAACTTAAGCATCATGAAAAAAAAATGGCTATGTATTAATAACATTTTTCATTTTAAATAAAATTCAGACCATTTTGTTTGATACCATTTCCGTTTCTATCCTCCAAATTAGCACTTGCAATTTAATAATTTTACTGCATTGAGAAAGAAAACATCAAAACAGCCTCTCTTTTTAATTTTTTCATGCCTCTATTTGGAAGAATTATTTTAGGCAACATTAGCTGCTTTTATTCTTAAAGCATTGAGAAGACACAGAAATTTAGTTGCATGGCAATTATCAAATTCTTTTGGCTTTAAGTATTTGAATTTTCTCTGAGCATTTCTGTTTTCTGCCTTTTTTGATATTCATGTGGTTTCTTAGTGGTTACCGTGGATTTGACCTTGCTACAGAGGTCTTTATGAAAATGTATACACTCGAACATGGAAACTGTAAGACGGTATTCAGATGGAATGAATTGTTTTCATAATTTTTGTCATCACTTTACACTCTGACTGCAAAACATTGGCAATTTTCATGATGTTGGGAATAATTCCACTGGGAATTTCACTTTGTGCAACAGCTGTCAGAAATCAACGTCTTAAAATGGTTGGCATAATTTTTAGTGTGATCAGTAAAGCACATCCTTCGTGCTGCATAGTCATTTATAAGTTTGGCTTCCTAACTTAACAAAGGAAAACACTTTTTACCAAAATGAATGAGAGCATGTTGGTGTTAATATTTTCATAAGAACATTATCATTAATTTTAAAAAATAGTAGACAGAAGTCATTGATGAATCAATGAGACATAAATGTATTTAAAACAGAGTTTATTTTTGAAATATCATGAAAGTGCTGATAAATATCCACAAACTGTAGATTGTTAACTATGGATCTGTCCAGCTTGATTCAACATATCGCATGAATGCCCACCGTGGGAATAGGGTAACTGGCTTGTTTTGGCATGGTAAGCGAGGCAAGGCCATGATTCAGAATGTGTCTTTAAGATTTGAAGTCTATCACATTTCATCAGTGATTCCCTGGGAGTATTTTGTTTTCGGGTCAACTTTAATGTAACCAGCTGATTTAGCTACTAATATTTCCACCAGAAAAGAAATGTCCTGTGAGAAACCTGTCACCCTCCAATGTGCCAGACGTACCTGCCATTGTGCATCAGCACACTGGCATTATGGTCTTTCATGCGCCAGGAATTCATTTAGCACAAAATGAGTCTGCAGAGCCTAATGGGACAGACTGTGCTACAGACTTACCTCACCGAAGAGCAACCTTTCCTGGGAGCCAGAAGCCATTGTCCGATACCTCGTGTCCGTTTCTCATCTCCCTACACAATGCAGATATAGTCTGACCCATTCTTATTCATAGTGTTGTCTTTGGAGAGATTCTTTGCTTATAAAGTATTTCTATCGTTACATCACATTTCCTTATTATTCTTTTATTCCTTTATTCTTTTAAGGACATTAATTCACCATGTATGATGACTTCTGATTCAGTCCATGGATTTGGAACTTACCCTTGATAGTTTTAGTGAAACTACCAGCTGCCACTTTCCCTGTTGGGGGCATATCTCATTCAAAGCCTTCAGCCCTTATCTACATGGTTCACTGTCTTTTCTTGATACACAAGAATTCAAAATTTGTCTGCACACAGTCTCTGTATTGTGATCCTTTCAAAGGCTGCCCCGAATTCCCATGTTAGCCTGATGTTACTACTGAAGCTCTTCATGGTGGGCTTGTTCTTTTGAGGTGGCTGTATCTTTTTCTATCTGAACAGCTCTTTTTCTCTGAGTAATTATCAACAGTGATTGTTTTGTTCTTTGCCTCACAGGTACTACAGCGCGACCATTCTGCAGATGTCTGGGGTTGAAGATGACAGAATTGCAATATGGCTGGCTTCAGTTACAGCCTTCACAAATTTCATTTTCACCCTCGTGGGAGTCTGGCTGGTTGAGAAAGTGGGCCGCAGAAAGCTTACCTTTGGCAGTTTAGCAGGTAGGTGCCTGAATGAAGAGTTCAGTTATAAACTTTTTCAAACAGTGACAACCTTCCAAAATACAATAACTGATATCGTTTCTGATATTGGGTTCTCAGCGAAGCGGCAGACAAAAAAAGAGCTTTTAAGGAGTGTTACAGTACATGACTATTAATGAGAATGTGACTAGGATTACAAGAATAATTTATATCTACTGAGAGTAACATTTTTCTGTTATTATTTTGAGTTCTGCCAAAAGGTGCAAAAGTGACAAGAATAATCCTTTTTTTGCTCTGTCCTTTTTTTGAAAAACTTTGTATTCAGGAACTTGTTTTTTAATATGTCATATTTTGAAATTCAGAATAAAATGGATGTAAATTTGTAACCATATAATTTCTATATAAAGATTCTTTATGTATTTGAAACAGATATAAGTTCTAGGATAAATTCTAGTTGGCTAGATGTGGTTTTATAATGACTAAATAAGACTAAACTTTCTTCCCCTCATGTACCTTTTGTGTTTAAGTTCTGCCCATTTCATTTATTATTTCTCTGTAGCACAAGGGCTTTTTCACTTAACAGAATGGGACCCTCTGACATTGTTTTCACATGGTTGCCTCATAGAATTTTCTAATTGTTTTCAAACATACAAACACATTCTTACTTGTCAATTCTGAGCAAGAATCCATTTTTCCATTAAAATATAAAATCTCCAGGATAGCATTTACTTAATTCTATTTTAACCAAATTATACCTAAAACACTGGTCTAATAGGACTGTTTCAGGCATGTGTCCCAGATTTGATGAGAAAATACATTCTGAGTTTGTATGAAAATACATTCATACCAACTCAGTGATTAGGAATGTATACGCTGGCCTGACCTCCACCTGAGAAAGAAGACGAGAACGCTCTCATCTCCCATTCTTGCTGAAGCAGTGGGAGCCCTCAAGTCCAGTGGTGCGAGCTGACCTGCAGTATCAGCCCAGAGGGGGAAGGTGCGAGATAGTCTGATGGATTAAGGGGCATAGGTGATTTCCACCAGCCAAGCTACATAGGAACAAAGTGAAGAAAGGTGAGGGGCAAGTGAAGGTTCCAGAACCTTATGTTTGTCAGCCAACCTGTTGGAGAGATCAGAGTTCTTTAGCCTGGAGAAGAGACTAAAGGGAAACCTAATAGATACATTCTTCTACAAGCCGGTAGATGGTATGAGGACATTGATTTTTACTTAATACAGAAAAATATTCCTAATTATTAGATCTATCCAACCATTGTTGGGCTGCCGCATTGGGATAGTAAACTCTCAGCAAAAGGATAGATTACCATCAGGCAGCAATGTGCTAAAAATAAATTCCTACAGTCGGCTGGAAATTGCATTCACTGCGTTTGAGGTTCAGGTCAACTCTCAGAGAGATAATAGCTGCTTTCAAATATTTTTAATCGACACGCTTCCTTTTTAGTAGGACCCCAGTACGTTGCTACTGTAAGAGGTCTAATTTTTAAATAGAATTTAAGTGCTTCTTCCATTTGGGGTTTGGCTTTTCTGATCTGGGGAAAACTGTAGATTAGGCATTTTTTCTCTAGCAGCCTATGTCCCTTCATTGGTTGTATTCCAGTATAACAATTCTTGTCAGTTCTACAGAAGCTTGAGCCAGTATTCCTGTAAAGCCAGATTGTTTGGGTTTGAGTTGTGTTAACTTTGGGCAAAGTTCTATCTCATCAGCTGTAAATAGGGATTAATTATCATCCCACCCTCAGAGAGTTGTAATGAGGATTGAACACATTTGTGTATTAGAGCATTTAAAATGTAGCCTGGTAGAGTAAAGCCCTCAGAGCATTTTAGCCGTCTCAGCATTATTACTGCCCAAGAGCGACTCTTTCTTGTTTTCACCGTACCGCAAATCAGCTCCATTCCCATCATCTGGGAACGTTCCTGAACTCCTCGCTGATAGCATGTTTCCTCTCTCAGCATAGGTCTTCTCCCCGTGGATATCCAGAGATCATCCTGACCATTAAAAGGGAGTATTAAGACATTTACTTGGAGGGAAACACCAAGAGATTTCAGGGGCTGCTTCCTGTAGGCACTTGACTTTCCTGCCTTCATCTCTCAGCCCAAACCGCCAACACCTCAGTTGTGTCCAATACAAATTCTATACAGTGATTCCGCCTGCTTGAGAGACACCACCCGTCTGATTTTCATGACGGAGCCAGTTAAAGTGATAGAGTGGGTATTATAGTAGTTTAGGAGGTAGAAGGCTGGTCTCTCTTGTCTCTTCTTTTACATGTGCACACAGTAATATTTATTCAGCTCTTGTTTTCTACTGTAATTAAATAGATCCTACTAGACAGTAATGGCCAATAGAAGTTTAAACTTCAGAAAGAGACTTCCTGCTAAACAGCCTTGAAGTGCATTATTACTCCAGTGTGACCCTTGCAATAGCTGTTTTCTTTCACAGTCCGATACTGATTCAGTGCTAGCCATTTTTATTTCACTGTTTTTGTTTTATTCATCTGTATTTTAAGCATGTATTTGATATGTTAATAGTGCTAAGTATTAGAATATTGTTCTATTTTAAATTTCCAGAACTGGCTCTGGCCTAGAGTTCTTAAGTCTTTGATTCAGTATTATTCTCTATTTAGTGTTTTTATTGTGGTCTAAATTATAGTGAGTTAAAAATAGCGAACAGTCTTAGCAAAGTAATTTTTGGATAGGTATTCATTCTTGAAAAATTGCTATAAGTAAACTATATCTAAGCCAGTATAAAAGACTTTTTATACCAAGAAATATGAAATGTGTAGTCCATAAATAATTTTAAATGGAGGACATGTTGTGGTCTTCTGACTTTTGGTATTTTCAAAACTTGTTCAGAGAACTGGTCTTTTTTGTAGATATTACAAATTTAATGACAGTCTCCTGAGTCTTTGTATCTATATATCTTTTTTGGTAGAGATAAGCCAGACACTACTGTTGTTTTACCCCCCAATATATTTTGATAGTAGATTATGTCTGAAAACATCACTGACAGGCTGTCCAATGGTACTTATTTTATAATATGGATTCTTGGGCCCTGATGTGCTAAATTAGAATCTCTGAAGATGGGATCTGGAGCATGTGCTTTTTAAACAGGTGATACTTAAACAAAGTGTGAGAACTACTGCTCTAGTCAGAGTCGTGAGAAGGGAAGTTTTTTCTGAGTATTTCTAACAGTCTGAGCCTTCTGCCAGGTAATTAATGTAACTTCCCACATCAGATACTTAGAGTGCTGTTTATCCAACACACATCACTTCCTATGGATAATATCTTTATTATGAAAATTGTATCACAATTCCAAAATCTCAGTATACTTGGTTAAGAGAGAAGCTTTTCTTGAATGTAAAGTCCTTGCTAAAACTACACAATTTACTGGGAGAAATCCTTCATCCAAATCTTTCCTACTTTAGACTCAAATCTGGGTTGTTGTAATTAATAACTTGACAATAACTACAATAATTATTTTAAATACTAACAGGTGACTGAGAAAACATCTGTAATTTGTCAAGTAAAAGGAAAAATGTAGTTCAAGTATTTTTATCCTTTAAGGGTATGTAAGAGTAGTTGATAGGACTAGGGGATCATTTTTAAATTTATTTCATAAATAGAGTCATTGAAAACACCATTCCTTTCTGTTAAAGAGCTTATCTTGTCATAAGGGATTTTAACCTTGTTTGGGAATCACAGTCACCCACGGAGCTCTATAAAACTCAGATATCTCGTCCCCATCTTCTGAGATTTTGATTCAGAGGTTGGGGCACATCCCAGGTGTTTGCTCCCAGCACGAAGCCAGACTGAGAAAGATCGCTGTAAACAGTGAAGAAGTGTAAGCTATAATGCTGGCTTTGAAAATATTTCTATCCAAAATGGGCTAAAAATAAAAATATTTGGCTTAAGAAGGGTTACCTTTCACTTATTTAGGAATTTTGTGTGCCCAGAATGGTCCATTCCCCACATTTTGCAAGTAGGTTGGACTTTTTTAAAGACAGATGCAAGGTATTTATTAACTGTACTGCAGGCCTGTCATCTAGATTGCTGCTACCATAAGAACTCCATGGCTTCAGTCAGACGGGCTTAGCAATTTTTCTTTTATTATCTTCAAAAATAGCCAGCATTGCAAAAATTTGTAGTGCTGTGCTTCATCTATTTCAACCAACAGTCATCGGGATCTACCTATGCCAGGCACAGAATTGGAAATTTGAGGGTATGTGCAAAGACTATGTTAAAGTTTATAATTTACCCTACAGTCAAGTTATTTAATGAGTGTCATGAAAGAAGAGAATCGTCTTTCCTTCACATCAAAGTTTCCTGATGGAAAAACATACTTGTTCCATGGCAGTAAGCAATGGATGTATTTGGTCACATGAAATGTCCAATTTCCAATGAAGGCTAGTTTACTATATCTCAGACAAGAAGCAGGACAGTTAAAGTTTGTACTTAAATTATCAACACTGTTCTGCTGTCTTAACGGCAGCTTATTTAGCCCAGCAGTAAAAAAGCCTGGAGAGTGAGTGATGATGAAATTGCAAAAGCCATTTTCCCCAGCTTGTTGAGAATTGGATATTTTTTCTTGCAAGAAGTGGTCCAAAGCCTGGTTGGTGCCAGGTCTGGTGAATTCCACGGATGACAGTTTCCAAGTCCACATTCTGTAGTTTTAGCCGAGTTGTTTGTGAAGACCACTGTATTGTAAAAGGAATGGCCTCTCTTGACCAATCTCAGCTCTTAATTCCAAGCATCCTCATCATTTTGTCTAACTGGTGGCAGGAGACTCCCACTGTGATCCACTGACCAGGTATCATGAAGCTGTAGTGGATAAAACCATTGTTGCACCACCAGACACCGTTAGCTTTTTATTGATGAATATTTGGTTTGGGGCTGCGTTTCAGCACTTCATCTGTATCCAGCCATCATGCCAAAGACGTGTGATTGTCAAAAAGAATCCATTTTCATCACACATAATAATGTGGGGTATGGAAATGATTCGCCTTTAAGTCATGACAGCAAAGAAAGGCACATTTCGAGATGATTTTTATTCTGAGGCTTGTTGAATTCATTCAGAACCCATCTATTCAGCTTCCTTACCTTGCTGATTTGTTTCAAATAGTTCAGTATTGTTGAAATATTCACCTCAAACCTTGCTGCTAACTCACACATAATTGAAATGGTTTATGGATTCGCTTCTACTACAACTCTCAGCTCATCATTATCCACTTTGGCCTCACATCACCCACGTGGTTCATTTTCAGGATTAAACTCACCAGAATGGAACTTCTCAAGCTACCGACATACTATGCATTCATTAGCCACATCCTTCCCCAAAACTTGGCTGATATTTCAGGCTGTCTGTGCTGCAGTGGTTCCACAATAGACTTCATATTCAAAAATAGCATGAATTTTTGACTTATCCATAGTTCACAAAAATAAGTCTAAAAAGTTTTTGAAAGATAATCACAGAAACATGTGTTTAAAAGAATGAGGATGTACCTTCACAATAAAAAGAAAAAAACAAGAAGTGTTAAAGTGAAATGTCCGCTATATCAACCGTCAAACTGAGAACTTAAGGAAATTGGACATTTCTTACTTAATAACCTAATAATTTAGGAAAACACTTAAGGACTTGGGTTCCTTGATAGAGGAACAATAGAACTCATGTTTGGTTTGTTTTGTTTGAGGAGAGAGGGGTGATTTCCTCCCAGTCCTACTATATCTCTGATTCTCAATTAAAGGCTTAATAGTCTTTTGAGAAAAGTATTGTCTCAAACTATTCGTAATTCTGGTTTGAATAGCTGGCAGAGGTAAAATCAACTGTGATTTTACTCTGACGACTTTATTGACCCAGTTAGGCAAAACCGACTTTTGATCTTCCCTTCAAGACTTCCTTCACCATTTTTTCCCTACTATTTTGACGGGCTGCTACTGTTTATAATGATAATTATAGTCTAATAACTCGCATTTTATAGCAAGAATCTTTCAAATACCTTACGACATTTGAAATTTACTGTAATTATCTAAGGTGCCTGTTTTTGCTAAGCCCTAATTTACAGATGACAAAAGTGAATTAAGGCAAGGTTGTGTTCCTTGCCTAAGATCACAGTCAAGAAACAGCAGAGCCAGGACTTACACCCTCCTGATTCCAGGAAGCACTTCTGTCCCACAGACTTGACTAGACACAGTTGCTTTATCTTCAACACAAACATTTCAGCTATTACATAATCCCGTTGCACTGCCATGGTGCAGTGTCCTTTTTTTAATCTACTACTGGAATAATATTTTCAGTCATATGGTCAACTACCTCTTAATTTAAGTAATAAAAACTTTACTACTAAATAGTAGTAATAAATAAAAACTTTAAATGCCCTCCCTAGATTCCATATTATAAACATTTTGTATCATTCAAATAAATTTTACAAATTAATACAGCCATGTTTTCTCTCTCCTTCCTTCCCTTGACTCTTTTTATTTATCCTCATGATATCTGTGGCTGGAACAACAGTCAGAAATATGAAAACTTCCTTAGTTACCATCAGGATATCTTTCAGGGGCACAAAACTTGGCCTTTTTAGGTATTATGCCTAATCTCCTATCCTACACCTTAAAATGAAAGGCAGATATATTCCACTTCCACATACCGACTGGAATGACAGATGAATGCATGTGTTATATCATTTCTGGCACCTAAAAGTCTTAATTAAATATGCTACTCATTTTTAATGCTTTTTTCAACTGCTTTAGAAATAACCGGTCTCTTACTTTATAGTTTACTGGTTTAGATATTACGTGATCGAAGGCCATTAGAACAATTTTCTTGGCACCGAAAGGAGCGCAGGAACATTTAGTGTCTATCTGGGGCCTCTCATACATCCTGATATGTCAGGCACTCCGTAATCTTGGTTACAGTAATGGACTTGGAGATTTTCAACAATTCTGGGTGGCTTTTCTTTTTAAGAAAATTATTACCAATTTACTGTTTCTGTATTAGCTTTGAATTTCACTCTCATCGTGCCTTACAATGAATGTGCTAGTGAGTTATTTTGATAACTTATTTATGTATTAGGAGCATTTATTAATATCCATTGAAAATAGACGAATATAATTTTTTCAGAGGTTTTTTTTTTAAACCAAATCCAATCTGCTCTGGAAGAGTGTCATCAACTACTCTCTGATATAAACCTTTTTTTTTTCTTTTTTTTTAGGTACCACCATAGCACTCATTATTCTTGCCCTGGGATTTCTGCTATCAGCCCAAGTTTCCCCACGCATCACTTTTAAACCAGTAGCTCCGTCAGGTCAGAACACTACATGCTCAAGATACAGGTGAGACTTCCTGTGTTCCTCTTCCCTAACCTAACTCTGGTAACGTTCTTGTTTGCTTTTAACTCTTCTACAATTTAAAGAGAAACAAATAGGAGCTTGCAAAGTCTGCATTCTTAGGAGGGAAGGGAAGAAACAGGAATGATGGCAGGGAAGGGCCACCATGTGCAGAGACAGGAGTGTGAGTAATCAGGGCAAAGGTGAGTTATTAGACACAGTTTTGGAGCTGTTTCTCTGGAACTTAAAATTGGTGATTGATTACAGAATCTAAGCAGGAATATAGTGAAACTGTTTTCAACCATATTTGACTCAGTGGCCTCTAACCCCAGGTGAAATAATCTTAATCAGTAATCAAACTCTTGCAAGAATATTCAAACTCTGAATATTCTGACAATCTTCAGTTGACTTCACGGGCATCCCCTCCATCATTTAAACAGAAAAGAAAACTCCTCAGTATTGTATCTACTTCTAGGGGTCTAGAAGTAGAAAATGGGGTGGCACCTGTGGCTCAAGGAGTAGGGTGCTGGCCCCATATACCAGAGGTGGTGGGTTCAAACCCCGCCTTGGCCAAAAACTGCAAAAAAAAAAAAAAAAAAAGGTGACAAATGATGATGGTAAAGAGTGAAATATTATAACGGTGACTTCAGGCCGAAGAGCTCATTAAGTCTAGTGGTGGAGTCTCTGTGAGATCAGTGGATGGATGGGCTGAAAGATGCATAAATGGAAGATCAAATGACGGGACAGAGCAGTTAATGTATTTAGCACCAGAGTTTTGAAGTTTCTTACTTAATTTTAGCCATTCTTACTTAGTTTTAGCCAGGCTAACAACCTCCTTAAAACTTATGGATAGAGTAAGGCCTACCTTTTAAAGAAAAAGTTATATTCCTTTAGTCTTGACGTGCTAGGCACTAGTCTCAAATCGATGGTTAAATGATATATAAAGTCAAACAGTTATTTGTGAAATGAAAACATGACATTTATGCACTAAACTCTACTTAGTATCCACTTGGAACTTCTAAATGAACGTGAAAATAATACATTCATGGCTTCTAGTAAAAACACAAAGGAGGAAGATATGTAATATTAGGCCTTTCTGGTCCCAAATTGTGATATCTGCTTGTCTTTGGAAAATTGACAAGTATAGCACCTCTTGTACCTTACTAACAAGGTTTTTTAAATTTATTTGCTTATTGGATTACTGATATTTATCATCCTTTTCTTGTTCTAAAAAGACTTATTATCCTTTGTCTTAATAAAAGAAGTTAACCTTAGCATAGACTATTTCTGGATGTTGTAATCTTTATTTGCACACCCCCTCCAACTGCTAAAAAGGTGATAGAACTGTTGCCCAGATTCTGTTCCATTCTGCTTTTTTCTTTTTTATTTGATTATTTTTAATATTTTTATAATTTATTTTGTTTTATTTTATTTTTACTTTTTATTAAATCGTAGCTCTGTAGATTAATTCAGTTATGGGGTATAGTGTGCTGGTTTTATATACAATTTGAAATATTTTCATCAAACTGGTTAACATATCCTTCATGGCTTTCTTAGTTATTGTGTTAAGACATTTATATTCTATATTTAGAAAGTTTCACATGTACCCTCGTAAATGTACCATAGGCATGGTCCCACCAATCACCCTCCCTCCACCCATCTGCTTGATGGTCATTTTTTGTAGGTTTTTAACACAGCTACCACTAACAAATTATTTTTAAAATTATGATTCTTTTAGCAACATAGAATATACTTCAAATCTAATGTCTGTTTTAGATGTTGTGTTTATAGTAAGACTGATAGGCCAGCAAGCCAACTAAAGGCAGAAAAAAATCTGAAGAATATTAGTAAAATTTTTATGAACTTCTGATACAGGAAAGGAATGATTGTAAATATTTGGTGGTTTACATAAAGAAACTGTTTTCTTGACACTGACTTTTAAAGTATAAACAAACATATTTATTGCCCAAGTATGTCTCATTACAGAGCAGTTTGTGATTATCAGTTGTTAATCCTGTGGTCCCTCTAAGCTAAGATGTTATCATCTACCTGGTATGGCCATATAAAATTGTCATGATGTGAGAGAAGCCATACAGCCTAGTTGTAGGATAGGTAGCTATTGTTGGAAACAGTTCCAAACTTTTAGGTGCCCTTTGGGAGACAGTAGGTATGAAGCACATTTATTGGATGCCTCCTTTCAGAGGAACATCTTAGGCTTTGTGGTGATTTAACAGTATATGTAGTATGAATTATTTTACAAAATATAACTGCGGTCCCCTTCCTGACTTTGTGTTGTTAAAACCATCTGTACACATTTCCCCTTTCTCTAAGTCAAATGTGAACAAGTCGCATCGTACCTTAGGATAAGTAACGCTCGCTCATGTTGTAAAGGTGGGGAGTATGCTTTCCCCAGGGACTGATGCATATCGGAAAAGTTAGCAAATCAGACAGATTTAAAAGGAGAATTAGTTTAATAACTATCTTAAGAACATCTTGTACTGTTGATGGGGGTGCAAATGGTTCTTTATTTTGGAAAGTAGTATGGTTCTCCCTAACAAAAGGTAAATGCCTACACCCGTTGACTCCATGCTTAGACCTGTAGAAATCTGTAGACTGCGGCGATTCATACCTGATCCATTCTGACTAGAGTTGAAGATTTAAGAAAGTGGGTGGTCCTTCTTTATTCTAATTCAATAAATATTGGTTCCATACCAGGCAGTATTTTAGGTTGAGGCCAAAAATATTAGGGCTTTTAGATATTACTAATGGCTTCCTAAGAGATGGACTATCATAAATAATTTCCAGTGAGAGTGTTCCCTTTTTAGAACAATTTTTTTATTTCAGAATATTAGAGGGTACACACGTTTTGTTTACATACTTCGTACAGATGGAGTCAAAGTTGTAAGTGTGCCCTTCACCAGATAGTGAGCACCACACCCACTAGGTGTGAATTTATCTGTCCCCTCCTTCCCCTGCCCCCAGCTGGACTTTCGTTGAGATGTATTTCCATATGTGCACTTCAGTGTTGATGCGTTAGTTATAGTTTGGTGTTGAGTACATGTTTGTTTCTCCATTCTTGCCATGTTTCACTTAGCAGAATGATTTCCAGTTCCATACGGGTTATCACAAAAGATACTAGATTGCCATTTTTTATGGCTGAGTAGTACTCCATGATGTGCAAATACCACCTTTTATTTATCCATTCACATATTGGTGGGCACTTAGATTGTTTCTGCATCTTTGCAGTTGTGAATTGTATGCTTTACATGTCTGAATGTGGGTGTCTCTTTATATAAAATAGCCTTTTTTTCCTTTGAGTATATACCCAGAAGTTGGACTGCTGGATCAGATGATAGATCTACTGTAAGTTCTTTGAGGTATCTCCATACAGCTTTCCATAGAGGTTGTACTAGTCTACAGCCCCACCCACAGTATATAAGTATTTCTTTCTCTGTATCCATATGTTGTTTTGGGACTTTTTAATATGAGCTGTCTTCGTTGGAATTAGGAGATATCTCAACCACTGTGGTTTTGATTTGCATTTTTTTCCTAATGATTAGAGATATTAAGCAAATGAATTTGTTGGCCACTGGTATATTTTCACTTGAAAAGTTTCCGTTCATGTCTTTTACTCTCTTTTCAGTGGGGTTGTTTGGTTGTTTCTTTCAGATTTGCTTGGGTTCTTTGTACGTCGTGGTTATCAGTCCTTTATCAGATGTATAGCATGCAAATATTTTCTTTGATTCTGTGGATTTTCCATTTGCACTTCTGGTTGTGTCCTTGGCTGTGCAGAAGCTTTTTAATTTGATCAGGTCCCATTTGTTTATTTTTATTGCTGTGATTGCTTTTCGGGTCTTCTTCATGAATTCTTTGACTAGGCCGATATCTAAAGAGTTTTTGCAACGTTTTCTTTTAGGATTCTTAGAGTTTCCTGCCTCAGGTTTAAGTCCCAGTTTCCGTTGTGGGTTAATTTTTTGAGTGGTGAAATGTGCTGATCCTGTTTTGGTCTTTTACATGTGGCTGTCCAGTTTTCCCAGCCCCATTCATTGAACAGGAATTCTTTTCCCTGGTGTATGTTTTTATCTGATTGTCATACATCAGTTGGAAATATGGGATGATCTCATCTCTGGGTTCTCTGTTCTGATCTATAGGTCTGTATGTCTCTGATTTTGTGCCAGTATCAAACTGTTTTGGTTACTATAACCTTATAGTATAGCTTGAAGTCTGGTAAAGTGATGCCTCTCATTTTGTTCTTATTACATAAGGTTGCACTAGTTCTTTGGGGTCTTTGTAGTTCTGTATGAAGCATAGAACTTTTTTTCTAGATCTATGAAACATGACATTGGTATTTTGTGAGGATTGCATTGGTAGTGCAGACTTTTAAACAATGTTGATTCTGCTGAGCGTGGTTTGTTTTTCCATCTGTTACATCCTCCCTAGTTACTTTCCTCAGTATTTCTGTAATTCTCCCTATAGTGGTCTCGCACCTCCTTTGTTGAGTATAATTCCTAGGTATTTTATTTTCTTTGTTGCTACTGTGAATTTTATTACCTGTTAAATTCTGTGAATTGAGTGCATTAAAGAACATCTTTCAGGTCTGTTTTTAACAGATAAAACTGCATGCAAAGATAAAGGTGGAAGCAAGTTGCTGTGGAAAATGTGCAGCCACCTGTATACAAGTTGTCACTGGGTCCCAGCCGAGTCTAGAAGAAATAATTCTAGTGTGGGTATCATCTGAGTCATGTATCTTTATGAGAATATGTACACATATTTCTAATAGGGCCGTTAGCCCCACATTCTCAAATTATTAATGTCCTATTCCTCTCATTTTCAGTTAAACATTTTCTTTTGAGAGTTGTCTAAGCTTTGAGGAATCAAACTTTTCCTATGTAACCCTTCCCTCAAATACTACACTTTATTATTTATAGTGTGATCTCAGTATATGTAAATCACTATCTTAATACCCTTTAAAACAGCCAGATATTTCCTAAAATGTACACATGTAG